GTGTTGGTGGAAAATTGTTTTAATTCGGTTTCAGAGAGTTTTTACAATATTTCACGTTCTACTTCTCATAAAAATTTACATGTATATTTTCTGGGCATCTATCTTTTTGGCTATGAGTCATACAATAATTGAATCAAAGACGCATGTAGGGTGACAAAATGAAATTACGCGCGCAAATGTCGATCCAAGACACCCCGAGCCTTCCGGGGGTTGCAGAGTCAATCAGTGGAAACGGAGGCGTTTCGAATAAACTTTCTGATAGCCATGGTGAAATAGCAAATGCGAAATTATCGAGATTGATAAAAACGGATAGCTTTGTTGCTTATTTACTTGTTCCGACGAACACTACAGTTACTACAGCAGCTACAGTTACAGATAAAAGTATGCAAAGTTATTATGGAAAATTAGTTATTTTATACTATAATTGATAGCGAAGACTTTTTCAATTTAAAAGAATAATTTTGCCCTGACAACATGTCGTATCGAATAACAAAATTCTTATCATTTATTTGCGCTATTGATAACTATTGTGGTGCCGTTGATATTTCACGATGAAACGATTTTAGACTATTTACTTTATACTTATTAATAGAAAAAAAATCGTGAAAATAGTAGCGAAAAATTCTCCAATTTAAAAAATATTTTTATTACAACAAAAATTTCGGATTAAATCAAAAATTCTTATCGTTTATACGCGTGCTGTATGATAGGATATAGTTTGTATATGGCGATGAAAGGATTTTATACAGAGTGTTTCAGATTACTATGAAAATTTCATCAGTGAGTTGTATAGAACAGAAACGTAAAGGATTTACAATTAGTAATACTTTCCTCTCATTTTGATATAGCACAGAGATATTTATTTGAAATGAATCAAGTTCGAGAATCGATACCAAGTGTGAAGAAATTTTATGAAATCACGCAGAAATGTATTTTACGTTGGATAAATTGAACAATAGTCGATAAAATGTTTCTTTTATATTCGATATTTACATCAACAACTTTGCATTCGAACATTTATGGATTTTTTGTCAAATCACATTTTAATTCCATTGCTACCTGTACACATACTGGCAAGGCTTACATAGAAATACCTGAGATAATACCTGAAATAACCTGCATATACAATTTCTATTTAAATTACTAATTACTAATTAAAAATCGATATTTAATAGCGAATAACCTCATTCGCTTGATTAAACAAATTTACTTCAAATATATCAATTATTTGAAATTCCACAATATCGTTGATTATTACTTTAAATATTTAATATACACGTGCATAAGATAATAGATATGATAATAGATAAGAATGAAACATTTATCTATCGTCGATTAGCATTGTTATCTATAATGAAACATTAATTAAGATTATCAACATTCGATTAATACTTTGTTTTCGTCAGCGTGTCTGGTAACTGGTGATAAAATTATGCAAGAATTCATTCTACATCTAAAAATAAGTGGAAAAGAAAGAATACAATTTTTCATCTTCAAGAAAATTGCGGTTGAAAATTAGTGGGGTATGCATCCTTTTATTCAAGTTTCCACGCTGCGAATTTCATTGCGGACTATATCCATTTGTGTTCATAAACATTTGTAGTATTTTTACATTTAAATTACGTAAATCGAATGATAGAATAACGTAGCGAATTTCATTGCGGACTATATCCATTCGTGTTCATAAACATTTGTAGTATTTTTACATTTAAATTACGTAAATCGAATGATAGAATAACGTGAAAGATAGATAGTCTACGCTAAAATTCATAAAGTTAAAGTACGACTAAATTTACGATTACGCACCCCACGAATTTTCAAATATAATTTTCTTGAAAACGAGATCTCGAATGTAAAAACTTTATTCTCTTTTTTCAACTTATTTTTAGACGTAGAATCTTCATCTGCACGCTCGTACCACCAGTTACCACAACTTATCTGTGTAACTAGAAATGCGAATATAGTTGCTCGTGGATTAGTGCAATTACTATTGCTCGATCACTATCTATAAACGCACAGCAATCGATTGTCAACAAAATGGCGGCTCCTAAAAATGTCGAGAATATCAAAGTACTTGGCAGAATACTTGTAGTTTCTGTAGAAAAAGCAGCCAAAAAGGGTATTATACGGTATACTAAAATACTCGAAACAATTGAAAACGCATCGTTTCAGTTTCTCATAAATTTCTTAACTCAGCTTAAATGAGTTACTATGAATAATATTTTGCTTTTTTCGAACGTCGTTTTAATCTCGTTAAATAATATAAATTCTAGAGTATTTATTTCATAAGAACTTATTAATACCAGAGAAAAACTGGGTAGGTAATATGTCCCAGTTTTAAAGAAAAATCAGCAAACGTGAATACTGTTTAATTCTTTCACTATGATTTCAATATGATACACGTACAAAGAAGAAAACTTCAAGATGATATCAGTAAAATTAGAAAATATTTCAAGGATATATACGATATTTACGATAAATATTTATTGCAGTCACAAGCCATGGTGGCGCTAGTGAGTTAAATGGAAAATCATCTTAAGACTGCCGAAATGCTTACTCGCGAAAGGATTAATAACTTTTTATTACATATCCATTTCTTTTTACAAATAGCCTTCCTCTAAAAATAAAACAAAAGCAAAAAATGACGATAATAAGCTTAGATAATAAAATTCCTAAATGATGCATATTAGCTATAAGACAATTATCCATAGTAACTTCTTTATATAAATAAATCCACACTTTACAGCTTTTTAAACGAAATATTATACAATTTGAAACAGAATAAATAACAAGAATAAAGTAACTCAAAGTAAATTCATTAACTCCAGGAGGCAAAAACTAAAAGTTTATTTCAAATATAAAAACTTAAATACCAATCAACCGTTTTGGCGGTGAAATTTTGAAAAATTCAAAAAGTGATGTTAATCACTTGGTCCATATGTATACCTCATTCAACGAAATTCAATCGAACTTCTACCTTATCGCTATTTCCAAAAATAGAAAATGTTTTACTCGTCTTTCGTTACATATATACTTTTCTTTCGATCTTCTTTCTAGTTCATGGTATTTAATTTTCTCGAAACACACGAGAATTTCTAAAAATGCGTAAATAATACAATCTTGAGATACTAATGACTTGAAATAATATTTGCGGCAACTTTTAAAAGTTCCAACTCTGATGATCAACATCCGCGTAAACGTACTCGAACAAGCTAATAGAGAAGATAAATAATTCGCGTTTAGGCAAAGTCGTGGAAGAAGGGAAAATTAGGTGTAACTGAACGCGTCAGCTGGAAGATGAAACGCAACAGATTCGAGGGTAGTAGTGCGGTTTTTGACAACGTTAAAGAATGGACAGGATGGAGAGGACGGTAGCTAGGCAGAGGATCCGCGCCAGCACGTGCAGAGCAGCCCGCTGGTCCCCGAATTCTGAGCGGTACATATTAAAACAGTCGCCAGTGCGTTTCGCTCTTTTGATATATAATGCAGGATGGTGTTGTTTGAGTTAAAAGCCCAGGAACCGCGGTGACTTAACCCTGTTAAACTGCGATGCCAAGTAAAACGCGGTTTGCTTTGCTTTTACTCGTTGGTTATAATCCATGCACAAAGTGTCCAGCCAGGAAGTGGCTTCACCAATGCGGCGGAGACTTTCGAACGCGTTCATTTCACCCTCAAATGCAAAAGTACTCGCCGGTCTTGAGTGTCGTTTTTAGTGATTAACTTTGAAACGTCGAAGCACGCTACGGTTCCGATAATTTCTTCGATTTCAGTTTTTCTATCGACCCCTGGTCTCCTACTCTCGGCTCCCGTTCACCACAAAGTAAGAGTAATTTCACGAAATAGCCATATGGCTTTTCACGAAACACTTCTTTCCAGGTAATTAACGCATCCTTTCCTCTCAAGGAGAGATCGAATGATGAAAAATCTTCATTGGATCTCATAGAACGAGAAAACGATGTGTTTCAGTTTTTAAGAAATTTTAGTTGAAATTATTTAGTTCAACTAAAGTAAGATTTTTCGATTTTACCCTCATTAATTTTCAAGATTGTATGGTTGAAAAATGAATACCATCGTTTCTTGTTGATTATTAACACTGCAAGTAAATTGATTACACGCTACAACCCTTATAAAAGAAAAGAATAGAACTCGGTTTTAACCATCTTAATTAGAAATGTATGACTTGCTATAAAAATTTTCAAATACAAATAGTATAAATATAATTATTTATTTCAATTTTCCATTTTTCTATCACTGTTTTAGATATTATAGTCAATATTAGATATAATTCAGTATGACTTAATACGTTTTTATATATTACCATAATACATAGAATAAAATATTATTTTATATTATTTTCGTATACAGGGTGGTTGATCCGAACGAATCTCTCTTGGCTTTTAATGATATAAAAAATATTTGTATGCAATTTGTATGACATCAAAAGACTCGTACAGTAAGAACAATGTTTTTATCAAAATTTTTTGGTCTCTTTTGGTCTCTTTTGGTCTCTTTTGGTCGTTTTAATCTATATTTCTCTCTATGGAATCGAGCAAACATTGTTAAAATATATTCAAATATTGTAATAACATGATAATTCGTAATATTAAAATCAAACAAAAAATTGTCGAGTGAACGATAATTTGCGAATAAATAGAAATAAACACATTTACTATTCCACGAGAAATAATAAATTTATGAACCATCTTACTTTTTACTGAT